TACACAGATATACTATAGTTTTCGAAAAAAATACNAAAGAATCTTTTTTCTATAATTGAAGAAAGTTGACGTATGTGTTATCATTAAGGTTGTTATTAATATGTCATTTTTTGAGAAAATCAAGTAATAGCCCTACCCCGGACATTACTCTACTGCATTGAGGATACCAGTGGTTTACTATATTAGGATGCTTTCTTAGAAATTCGATTCATTTCTTTTGCGAAACTCTTAAACTGTAAAAAAGGACTAAAGGCAACGTGGCATATGGTCGAAAAAACATTTGATCGAAGGGAAGATGGAGGCCGAAACGACCAAGTGATACAAGATATAGAGCGGAAAGGTGAACTTGGCCGAAGGTTAGCCCAAATAATACAAGGCATGAGGCCAAATGATTTTTCGACCAAATGACTTGTTATAAAAAATTATGGCTTTAAGACTGTAGTCATCTATAAAGGACCAACACAGTTGTACATTCACAGATGTTGTGAATGTTTCACAGATGTTGTACTGATCATAGTTCTTTTATGTGTGTATTGCTATGCTGCTGCCCAGGCAGAAAAGAGTTAGCAAGAAAATTTAGCTTATCAAATAACTCAAGCGCTCGCTTAATCGTAGATTTTTTAGGTCAAATAGCTAGCTGCCCCGAGTAAGTACCCACTTGCTAGCTGCAAGCAGCTGATCCAGTGGACGCTTAGTTGAAACATTAGCGCCGAATTCAAACGTATCAGCTAACTTCAACTCAATTAAGCTAGCTTTGACGGGTTAAAAATTGGGTCAGTTAGCTGCATGCGCCCATTTCATGATTTTTTTTTTCTTCTGCTTGGGTGCAAGTTTATCTACAAACATACCCTAGAGATCTAATGTTATAAACGATTCTTATACTTTTTTATAAGGACTTTATAAAAATCTTACGGAAATCTTAACTTCACAATCGATAGAAATCCATAGTGTGGTTATAAGATTCCTATAAAACTTTGTACGATTCTTATTATAGTCAAAAAAAGGAAAAGAAAGAAAAAGAAAAACATTTTTCTTGTTGTCTGGAGAAGAGGACAAAGTTTTGAACTTTGAAATTTTTGAACATTTTTTATAAGACACTAAAAGATTTTTATAAAAAAGTTATATAGTAAAAATCTTTCCAAAATCTTGTTTAATTCTTATAAGATCCTCCTCATATTGTGACTCATAAGAATCTTATAGGACGAATTTTTGATGATTTCTTTTGAACTTTCTTGATTTATCTAATTCTTCATCTAGTGCTTGTTTAAGTAAGAAGTGAAACTATTAGAGCAGCCGGTGACCGAGCTATAGCACATTAAAAAATAATACATAAAGCCCAGTTCCTATACTTACAAGACTGTCTTATAATCCTTAATGCTTTTCTAACAGCTCCATTATATCGATTTTTGTTAAATAATATAGTAAACTACTGTTATCCTCAATGCAGTAGAGTAATGTCCGGGGTAGGGCTATTACTTGATTTTCTCAAAAAATGACATATTAATAACAACCTTAATGATAACACATACGTCAACTTTCTTCAATTATAGAAAAAGATTCTTTATTTTATATCAGTCCAAAAAATGACGGTTTTGTCTTGAAGGTGACACAGGTGTAATACAGCTTTTGAAAAAGAGATGCACAAAGTCGAAGTATCACATATATGTGGACGAATACGTCCTGTATTTTTTTCGAAAACTATAGTATAGCTGTGTAAGTCTTGAAGCCGGATGATAGAAGGCTTTAACTTTTTCTAAAAAAAGAAGAGTCATTTTTCTGTAAAGTTTTAGACTCTACACTATAATCTTGAGTTAATTTCCAGTTTATAGAAAACCGACTTCAAAAGTTGAGGAGTCAGAGAAAAAAAGTTCTCCAGTAAGAGTTTATATCATGAAGTTGAAAATAAATTAAAGACTTACTTCCGTTCATTGTATATATTTTCATGTCATATTTTTCAGCAAAAATAAAACTTTAAAACGGGAGCAAAAGTCACTGAGAACTAAATGAAAATATCTTTGAGTGAACGATCGAGCTGGTTAATCTAGTGGAAGATACTAAATGCAGAAAAAACGAGATGATTATTCGCATGAGATATTACTTCATGTGCTTTAATTCTTCACATTCCTATGTACTCTCCGAAAGTGTAGGGCAGGAAATGACAGTTTATCACAAAAGGTACAGTCATACGAAAGTGAACGCATTTTTCCCAGGCATAATGAAACGATTTCTAACTCTTGCTGCACATTTTACTGCAGACTGAATTTTTCCATTCAGCCACTGATAATAAGGAATTTCTACGAGTAAAACTGTTCCTTAGATCGCTTTTCCGCAAACGCAGCCCCGTACACCAGGGGTGGGCAACTCCTACTCCAGAGTTGAGGATTTTTTTGGTGAAGTTGGAGTTGAGATTTTAGGGGATTGGAGTTGGGTTTGTTGAATTTTTATTCTAAACTCTGTTTTGCATTTTTGGAAATATTCAACGGTTGTAAAACTGATTTTCTAAACGATTGAGTGGTTATAGTCACGAGTGAATTTGGAAGTTCTTTGCACTTTCCGCCGGAAAAAGCTCAAAAACGTCCAAAATCCTGCGAAAAACCGAAAAATCTTCCATATAAAAGTGAAGCACCCGGAGTTGAACCGAAGTTGGATTTTTTGTTGACGGAGTTGGAGTTAGAGTCGAAAATTTGAAAACGGAGTTGAAGTGGAGTTGGAGTTGAAAGTCAGCAAAGTTGTCTGTCGTACACCGTTCTCTTCCACTTTTGGCGCTTATGAGTATTTTTTCATTACTGCGGCGGTGTCTATACAGGTGCCTCAATATTTCACATGCCTTGTCTGTGATTTGTCCATTCCAGTGACATCAAATGCGGAAATTATTTATAGAAAACCCCCTGCGATTCTCCACCTTTATAGAAATTCAAATTGATTTTCTAGAAAGCTGGAAATGGGTCGAGGAATTTCTATAAACTAGAAAATCGCCGACGGTTTTTCGACCGATTTTCAATAAACTTGATATTAATTTAAGATTACAGTGTACATCCCCAAGGCTACGTATTAGTCGGTGGATTTTGGATAGATATTTTTAGTTTTTCAAAAAATCTTAAAGCCTTTTATCTGTTACCTCTGAGGCTGTATAGACATCCTCAAGACTGAAGAATTTATTATGGTCACAAGAGAGCTAGACTGCAACATGCATGCCATACCTATTCAAGATTCTAATTAAAAAAATGTATCAGAAAAATCTGTCTGGAATTCTTATCGACATCGATGAAAAAATTTTTCATCTTCTATAAATCGATTAAATTTCTCTTCGATCATCGGCCTCTTTACCATTTAAACCAGAACATAGCTGTACTTTTAGTACCATGTATCAAATCCAGAATGAAGTCAGCAAAATTTCGCAAGATTATATAAATATGACAGAGCAAAGATGCTAGCGTGAAGGATAATTCTATCCTAAAGTTTACTTACATTTGGTCGAAATAACATATTGCCTAGACAACTTGGCCAAATTGGCCAACTGGTACAAGATATATGGAGGAAAGGTGGACTTGGCTGAATACAAGGCATGTGGTCGAAAGATGTTTTTTCGGTGAAATGACTTTTCGACCATCAACCACGGAATCATAGAAAACACCTTTAACCATGCCATAATAAAATGGACTAAATATTACTGCATTTTTTTCGTATTTCCTCTTCAAATAAGAAGTTCCTTTACATACCAAAAGATAGAGAATTTCAAGCTCTACAAAATCTACTATTCGAATCTCTGAAAGCATTTTTCTCGTTTGAGCACCATTCAAAATATTCAAGAGTGCTAAATTGTCGAACTGCGATGTACTTTTGTCGCCTCATTTTTTCAGATTTTTAGCACATTGTCTGAGGTTCAATAGTTAATTTTTCTAGGTAGAAAGATAGAAAATTTTGCGCTGTACCGATCTCACTCGTTTACAATCTTATTCAATGTTTCCACTACGTCAGCTGATCTCATAATTAGTTCTCAAGCGGCTATTCAGTTTTTTCAAATTAAATTAATTTTTTTAATTAATGGTTTCAATTGAGAAACTTTGTTTATATATCAAAAGACGCAGAATTTAATTCTATGTAAGATAATAAGACTAAAATCCTGGATTCAGAGTGTTTTACTGCTTTTATAGTCCAAAAACTAAATTCTGTGAAAAATAGATTCAAAAGTTCGGTTTTTTTAGATTTATCAGCTTTTTGCACAGAGAAATTTTTCTAGAAGATTTAACTGCAAAATTTAGAAAAATATGTGAGAAAATGCAGAATTCTCCGATGAGTTTTCTGATGTTTTCAAAAATCTTATGGAATCTATTTTTGGATCAAGACAAATGTTTTTCTATTTTCAGTGTGTCGCAGTTCGACAACTTTGCACTCTTCTATATTTTGAATGGTGCTCAAACGAGAAAAATGCTTTCAGAGATCTGAATAGTAGGTTTTGTAGAGCTTGAAATTCTCTATCTTTTGGTATGTAAAGGAACTTTTTATTTGAAGAGGAAGTACGAAAAAAATGCAGTAATATTTAGTCCAGTTTATTATGGCACACCCGTTAGTTACAGATCGTTTATATTTTTTGCAAGTCGCAGACTTGTTCGATCATTCATACTTATTCTCTTAATATTATCATTGGTATTCCATTATTTATGTATATATATTGCTGTAATTTTGTTATTTCTATTAGTGTTTGCAGTTGTTTCAGGTGCTGTAGACTTTGTTTCTAGATATTCAGCAACTAACTAAAAGCGAACGCCAGTGACTAACATATGCCACTGCATACTGGTGCAGACTAAGTTTTCTGTCTGTTATTAAACAATTACAGTCTCGAAAAAGGTCGAATGCCTAAGTTTTGTTTTCACATCACTTTTAAAAATAACAAATCATTAAATGAGGTTTTTCTTTCATTTTCCACTTTCATTTATAGGTGATGGAAATAATCGATAGTCAGTTTTAGTACAGATCATCAATTGCGAGCATTTGCCGGTATGAAATTTGAAGTAATAAATGAAGATAGTTTATATCAATGTAATGAAATTGATAATAATAGTCACATTGTTATTAAAGGTATTAGAAAAAAATGGGAGGAAATTAAATTAGATTATCAGTTATGGGATTTTAATTTAATAACAACTGTTGATGAATCAGCCAAACTTAAACGTAAATTTTTGTAAGGAAGTGTTTATGTTTGGAGTAAAATTGGTAAAAATATTTATGAAAAATTTGATATGGAATATATTACAAATAATACAGCAAGTCCATTACCAGAGTTTTATCATTACATTTTATTATTGGACAGTTCTCTGGTTCGATGAAAGGTGATTAATGGAAAAATTAAATTGCTGGTGTAAATGAATTAGTTAATGCACGACGTAAAAACAGTGATGATGATCGTATAACAATTATAACATTTACTAATATAGCAAAAATGTTTTTTTCTAATCAAAAAATGAAAGATATTGATACGAAAAATATTACTTTTACCGATGGTACAACAGCATTTGGTTCCACATTTCAATTAGTTATAAAACAATAGAAACGAATAGTAATGACGCTATGGTGTCTAGTGTTGTTTTAGCAACCGAACAGAAAGATATAAATTTATAATACATTATTGTATTGATGAGTGATGGTGAAGCTGAGTATCGGGATACTGAATTAAATCATTTATCAACAATAAATTTAATAAAAGTTTTTTGGATCGTAGCATTAGGTTAAGGAATGACCATTTTAGAACAGATTGATACTGAAATGAATGGTAGATATAACAGTTAAAAGATTCAAGCGAATTGGTTCGAATTTATGCAGAAATTGCACAAAGTTAAACAAAGTATGATAAAGAACCGTTTTTTAGATCAAGCTTTTAACTGTATATCTAGATTTGTTTTACTTTAAGACTATCATCGTCCTTAGTCTACACTGGTTTTAACCCTAATTCGCTGATTGAGAAAGTGCAATAGAAAACTGTAACGTTAAAATGAATATCCATTTTAAACTGACAGCTAAATTTGAAATGAATATTCATTTTTTGACTGTAATTCTACAACACTAAGTAGGAAGATATCTGGATGTGTATATCAATGAGCAAGAACTTACACACAGACATGAAGCTATGATAAGTAGATTAGCAATGGCTGTTCAACTTTGGATTTGGCAAGAGGATGGAAGGGATGAAAAAACTTCTATGTTTTTTACTAAATGTATGAAATGTATTTTTTGTTGTACAGCCATGGAATGTAAAACATTTTCTTTTTATATACGAATATGGTTTTATACCTTTTTCTTGCTGTTGTTTAAACTAAATTTTGTTTATGATAACTGTACTTTTCTTTGCATTAGTTACGCAATTCTTACGGATATTACTTATTAAACATAAAAGTGAGATTTTTTTTTTAAAGAAACTGACTAACGTTTTGCAGAACAAGATTACAAGGCGCGATTTGATACGTATTTCTCCTGTAAGGAAGTATTCGAATTGAATTTTGCTTCAAGATTAAATGCATACGGAACATTCAGTGTGACATGGTACTAAGAATTCGATTAAACTCAACTAAAAACATCTTATCAATATTATGCGCCATCTGTAATAGATATTTCGAATAAGTCAAAATATTCTCCGATATAGTCTTTCAGATTCGAAATAACGTGAAAATCTGGCTATATATGAAAGTTAGGCTAGAGGCTGCTACCTGTTGAGAGAAAATTTCAGACAACATAGCCATGAAGTATCTCTGAGTTTTAAGTGTTAGCTGAAAAATAAGATTGAACAGTCTGCATACTTCAGCAAGTAATGTGGTGCGTGAATTTTCTGATGATTATTCATTTTCGTGCAGGAAACGAGATATACATTTCCAGATACAGTTTTGTGCTCTGAACCCAGTGGTGCAAAACCGCAGCTCTCTAGCTATGTAGGAAAGAAAGATACAGTCAAAATACCCTACTAACGGAAAGTCGGATCATTTAGCATTTTCCAGCAGAAACAGCCTCTTTTGTAAAACTTCTCAGAACTGCCACCCCTATCCAAAAATCTTGAATTTGGTCTCAAATGAAAGACAACGTCGAGATCTATATATAGATCCATGAAAAAATCCCGTGTGAATACTCCGGAACAGGTCCAACGGATCTTCAGAGAACCTTCGTTTTACAGAAATCCTAGACGACTTAAAATACATATGAAAAATTTTCGGCCACACTGGCAGATGGTACATTCAAGTCTGAACAAAATGAGACGTCTCCGAAGTTTCTACGACCTTCCATACAAGAAAGGGAAAGAAAATGCGCAATGATCCGACGTTTTGTAAGCAGTGCGAAAGTTCCAATGTTAAAATTGCTAGTCACCGCATTTTCCTTAGCGTTCTTGACTGGAAGATCATTGAAACTTCAGAGACGTCTCATTTTCTTTAGAATTGAACGTACCATCTGCCAGTATGGCCGAAAATTTTTCATCTGTATTCTAAGTCGTCTGGGATTCCTGTTCCGGAGTATTCACACGAGATTTTTTCATGGATCTATATAGGAAAAGATTAATTGTATGAGTTCAACAATCATTATTTTAAAACTTTTATTTAAAACAGGATTAAAATTAGACGATTACAACTGTAATCATCGTCCGCTACATTTAAACGAAAAACACTTTTTTCCCGCTCTCTTTAATATTTTTTCTTTCTATGCACACTATAGAGAGAGATATAAAGCAAGAAATGGGGAAAAGGACAAATTTTTCAAAAGAAGGATCCTACTCACTATGAAATTAGTGTATATTCAGGCAACTTCCCAGATTAAAAAGCTGACATTGCTAGCTAATTTCGAAAATAGATGGAAACATAGGTAATCGACCACGCTGAATCTCGTGGCAATATTTGTTTTTCAAAACAGTTTCAAAAACCTAGTGAAAAAACCTATATTAGGTGAAATAATTTATTTTTGTCTTATTTTGAGTAATATTAAAAAAGTCATAATCCAGTCAAGATTCATCCAAATTATGCCAGAATGCCAAGATGTACTCTATTTTACCTGCTTAATACTATGAAGTTCAATAAAAGCTTTAAAACTCAACAATAAATACTTTTGTTTTTTAAAAGGTTTTCTAGAAATCTTCCAAAGTACAACAATGTTTTTTACTACTCTCAAGTAAAAAGTGAACAGGTAAAATAGGGTACATCTTGGTATTCTGACATAATTTGGATGAATCTTGACTGGATTATGACTT